CGATAAGTGTCGTAGTGTTTCATAAATAGCCGGCTCATGAAATAACTGCAAACCAATACTTTGGTCCTCTTATTCCGGATATCATCCAACAGGTTATCAAATATTTTGAGAAAATTTACGAAAGTTATGCCAATATAATTACCGTCAATATTATTGATTATTTTATCAATAAGTTGTTTTTCGATAGGAGTGGCCATCATCTGTAATCATAATAAGATATCTTATAGTTATCATTTAAGTTGATCATTTAGTTTTAAACCTATTCTCATATATTTATTAAAATTTGTTTTAATAAATATATTATTACTTCAATTAATTGCAATTCATTTGGTGACATAAACATCTTTGGCTGTAAATGTGGTTTATCTTCGAGGTCTTGGAGTGAATCAATGGTTTCAAATTTATTAAAATTTGTTTTAATAAATATATTATTACTTCAATTAATTGCAATTCATTTGGTGACATAAACATCTTTGGCTGTAAATGTGGTTTATCTTCGAGGTCTTGGAGTGAATCAATGGTTTCAAATGGGGTTTGAATAGTAATCGATAGTATTTCCTGATTAAACAGATTTAATATTAAGAATTTTGTCGATAATAATATACCAATAATGAGTAGCCTCCTAGTTGATACTTGCTTAATTATTATAACTATACCTATTATTTTTAATATAGTAATTGTTAAACTATCCACCAAAATAAAATAAAATAAAGCATTCACTCTTACTTTCCATAACAATTGCATTTATTACAATCCATAATTGATCTGGAAGTATTTTTCCTATGATTAACGTTACTATATCGGTTCTTGTTGATTTTTGGACATGTAAATATATATTTTAATTAATTTATCAGTTTTATTAAGACTGAATATAACAATTTCTCATTAGTTTAATAATTAAAGTAGCTAATAATTAATGAATAATAACTCAATACAACGTATTTATGCTGCTTTATTAAATGAATCAAAATTATGACATTCTTTCTCATGTGTATTGTTATGAATTAAATGCAGAATTGTAACCAATATGTTATCAAAGTTGGAGATCACATGCGATTTCAAAGACAACGGTTGTCCAGTAGTGGTCAGTTTCGGACAGTTGTCTGAGCACAGCCTCAAGTGTGACTACAATTTAGTCAAATGCTATAAATGTTTCCAAAGTATTCACAAAACCGTGAACACGATTGCCTCCAAACGTTCCTCGACTTGAATATCAAATTGAAGTTAGAGAGAGACAACTTGCTGGACACTATTCAACACATGTCCACCGATAATGGATTATCATTGCCTGTAAACTAATTTTTATGGTATTTTAAGTTTAAAAAAGTTTAATTTCATGAATACATTGCAGCCAAATGTGGAGCGCAAGCCTGCGTTTCTACCGCTACCTAAGGTTTGTACAGAATATTCTGCAATAATTATTAAATATTTTTAAATATTTGGTTTTTTGATGGCATAAGACATCACACATAATGGAAGTGACAGAATATGAGGCAAGAGTAATGTGTAGAAATCAATCCGTTGTCATACAAATCGTGGAAAACAACATGAATGAGGAGATGACAGGAATGGCAATGAATATAATCAGTCAACAGATCCACGGCTACTCGAGTCTTGCGTTGATTTGCGAGAAAATTGTCCACAAAATGAATGATACGTTTGGCAGAGAGTGGCACTCGAGCGCTGACTTCAGGAGTGGCAGCAAATCCTACACTGAATTCAAATCACAATTTGATATCAAAATACAATTTGGTTTACTATACCTTCACGTCTATCAGACATATTATGTAAGTTCTGTTTTTACCCTGATATTGATTTATAAAATTATTTAAAAATTTTATTTATGAATGAAAAGGAGGCCTCGGAAGAGGAGATAATAATATCGGCGAGAATCGAGTCATTGAATCCGCAAATAATTCAAAACCTTATGAATAAAAAACAGACAAAAACTGTTGGCAAGTGTTCAGACACAACTCAGACAACACAACACTATTTCACTCATCTGTAAGAATATTGTCAACGAATTGAATGAGGAAATGGGTCTCAATTGGCACTGTTATGCCACACATACACCACAAACACATCCATTTCAATCTGCCTTTACTTATGAGAAGGGATTCCTCATTGAAATGCAATTCAGTTCATTGTATTTTCAAATCTATAAAACTGAGATATTTGAATGCCAACAACATTTGTCGCAACTTTTATGCATTTATTTCTTTGTTTAGCATTTCGTTCATTATTTCAACTTTTCTGTGATCTTAAAAATATTTTTTATCGTAATTTTTAAAAATATGTCATAATTTCTGTGTAAATTCAAACATTTAAAAAATGATAAATCAATGAATAATATTTTATTATACTTAATACAGTTGAATATGTTAAAATATTTTATATTCAACAAATAATGCGAATCATGAAACATTTTAATTAATGATAATTTATACTGTAATGTACATGTAATAAATAATAAATGGTTTTAATTAATCATTATTTTATCCTTATCTCTGGGTTTAATCTTAATATCAAACAACTTGATGTCAATCATATGGCACTCATTTATTTGTTTAGTTTTATTGTATACACAAATCATATTTATAACGTTATATTTTCCGCACTTTTATTTGTTAAGTAATGAATCATAAGTATTATTAAAATATTAAGTATTTCGTTGTATCCACAGATATAATCAGTTATTTAATATCAGAAGCTATGGTTATATTAGTATTTTTGTTTAAAGTGAGTCTTACTTTCTCGGATCATTGAAAATATTAAGCATGCTGCAATATATAATATTGTATGATATATTTTATATTAATTTTTAAAAATAATTTTTATATTTAAAAAAGTTTTAAATGCCATTGTGAAATTCTTACTATTACCAGTAAGTGTGTTTATTGATTTTGGATTTTCTTATTAATTCTCACTACATTAAACAATTGGTATAACTTTACTAATTTACTAATATAACTACTGTAGTATTATATTTTTATTTAACCATAAAAAATTATTTATGACTGTTCTATGATTTTTAAAAATTAAATCAAAGTAATAAAAATTAAAATAAGCAATCTTACTTATTAAAATGATAATTATTATCAAATGTCAGCATATACATCGATAATTGAAATTTGTTTATATGTATTTGATTTATAAATATAAATAGATATTTGTTTAGAGATTATTAATTTATACTATAATTATATTATTGCAAATATTTTTAGAAATCATTTCAAACGAATAAAAAACATTTTTCATTTTAATACAAAGTTTGTGTCGTTTTGTGTAATGAAGTTAATGGTCCGGAAAAGTCTGACTTTTATTCACTTGTCTAACATTTCTTTGTCTGTGACTATAATTACAGACAAAATATAACACCAGTTATTAAGATATAGCATTCAATACTACAGTATTTAATTCATATGCACTGAATTTGATATTCAATTCAGTGGTTATATTTCAATCTAATATTTATATAGCATTATTCATTTTGATGATATATTAGTTGGGAAAGTGGTCCAAAATGCCCGGGTACGAAATTGAGAGGTTTCCCAACCTGTCGGCCAATGAGAAGTCCGAGTATACGTGCTCTATATGTCAGGACATANCGAGTATACGTGCTCTATATGTCAGGACATATTCTGTTGTCCGATGACAGCCCAGTGCTGTCTCCAGACATTCTGCGAGGAATGCATCACTAATTGGCTCAAAAACAATACTACCTGTCCTTACGATCGCAAGACATTGACTCCTAAAGACTTGTCACGACCACCAAGGTATGCCTACTTTAAGGCCTAAGATCACAATTTTATTTAAATTATTAAATGTTTTGATTTTTTATAATTGTGTATGGTTAATATTTAAATTAATTGTATAGGTTTATGAATACTAGTAACCTTTCAATTATGAAAACAAAATTGTAATTCATAATAAGACTAAAACTTATGAAAGTTATTTGCTTTCAGAATTTACTTTCACATGATATACAATATATTGATACCGTAATTGTCAATTAAGTAAATAGATATCTTTTAATGTAAATATTATTTATAAACCGTACACTCTGAGGGCATTGTACTAACAATAGCGTATTATAAAGAGTTTCTGATATTATAGTAGCTACTAGCTAGCTATTTTTATAACTTTGAACTAATAGAAATCTAATGCTATTAAAATTCTAATACCGTATACTGTGTAGAAAGTAGTAATAATATAAATTGAACATTAAAATAAAATTATTATAAAACATATAATTAATTACTTAATAAAATATAAATAATGCAGAGTTTTGATGAATATGTTGGGAAAACTGAAAATCCGATGCGATTTCAAAGACAAGGGCTGCAAAGAAGTGGTCAATTTGGAGGACCTGAGCCAACATGCGGTCAAATGTAAATATAATGTGGAGACAAAGGTTAAGAAATGCAAAAAATGTTTTTGTGAACAAAAGTCGGGCCACGACTGTATCAAATCATTGCTTGATTTGAACCGTAAGGCTAATGAGGAAATCAATGCATTAAAACGCAATCCATTGCCCACCAGTCCTCCCATCAGACAACCAGCACCGGCACCACCACCAGTGGCTGCAGTACCGGCCAGACCCGTGAGTTTGTTTAATACAAGCAGCAGCGGTAGTAGTATTGCAAATAGTTTGAGGGAACAGTCATTAATACGTGAAATCAATGAATTAAAAACGGAGAAAATGAATTTTTTGAAGACTATTCAGGATCTGTCCAACAGTCCTGTTATTAGACCT